CATGCTTCTGCTGTGGCGCTAACCTGGGGCCTGTACTACGAAGCGGGATCAACATACCCAGGATATGCTTCAGAGATCCGGCTTGACTAACCCTAACAATCGCACTCAGGATAACCGGTCCTACGACGGTGGCTATCAACTCGGTAAACCAACCCAGGGTTGTCTGATCTGAGTATGAGCGCGTGCACATAAAATGGGCGGAGTTATCGGCATCTGACCAATCACAAGTCTGGCTGCAGAGCGGCGCACTTTATCACCGAGGAGCAGAATATAATCTTTACAAGATATGAAGAATAATATAAAAACATCACAGGAGCAAAAAAGCAGCAGCGTTGCAGCAGCCAAAGCCAGGAAGGAATGCTGGCAGAAAACTGCTGACTGTGTGAATGAATACGTTCATTAGTTTATAATAAAATATGATCACTGTTCCATCATGAAGGCACGTATCAGACAATAAGCACATCGGAGGATTCCTTTTAATTAATTTGTTGACTAATGTATATTCTTGTGGCATATCTGACATAATATCATCATATCAGAAACATAATTCAAAGTGGTGCAGCTCATTAATATATCCTACAAATACAAGCTTTAATGCTAAAGTCAGTTTACTGTTGTGGGGTGATATTGGTATGGAAAAAAATCTGAAATAGCTTTGACACTGCCTGTAGCCAACAGGAAAAAAATGAAGGAAGACAGGAGCTCATAGAGATCCTGGTCAGGGTGCACTGTTTTGCCAGTCCTGAACAACCCTCACACTCCTCAATGATCCCTTCACAATTCACACTCTGATGACAGTGATGCTGTTTCGTTGAGAACTGCTTCATTTTCTGGTCCTTCTGAAGTTTTACAGGAGAGAACTGATTTTCAGTGGAGGTGTTTTTATACTCAGCGATCTCAACCTCCAACATAACAAATGAATCAAGAATTATTCTGATAATTGACATTTTCAAGCAAAACTTTTTTGTGATTCCAGCTTCTCTACTATCAGAATTTTCAGTTGCTTTGTTTTTTGTTTGTTTGTTTGTTTGTTTTTTAATCTTATCTGAGAATAAACTGATTAGCTTTGTGGCTCAGTAGCTGATTGAACAACCAAATGATTTAAGAGGACACCTTGGAATTAGAGAAGTTATGATAATAAAAATGTTGATTTTCACTATTGTCTGGCATATATAAAGCAGTCAGGTAATTTACTAAATGGCTAAATTATTGACAAGTTAAACAGTAATAGAAGTACATGCTTGTTCACAACCTGATGAGTAGCTGATGTTCCCTTATCAGATGTGTAAAAAGAGAGAACAAAAAATTTTCATACTAAATAAGCAAAAACTACAGAAAATCATGAAATACGTAACAGATGTTGTTCTCATTTCCTATACTGCGGCTGCTGTGATTTATATTGCAACCCCTCACATCCTGACCCACACAGAAACCTACTGGATTTGGCATTTGTGGAGGTGCGGCTCAAACCTTTGCTTTCTGTGGTGCATTCAGGGAGGAGCAGCATGGCAGGAATGTCCAGTGTAAAGTGCCAAGCCACCACAACAGGGGCCATTGCAATTCTGACCACAACCTATAAGAGTCTCAGTAGGCTCCCAGTGGATTAAGTCAGAACTGATGTTTGTTGTGCTATTGCGCAGTAGAGCGTATAGTACAACATATTTACACGTGACGTGAGCACACAACTACTCACATGAAAAGTGGGCGTGCTGGTTTCAAAAAAATTATGTAGGGTGGGCTGGATGATGTCTTCACTGATGTGTTCAAGGGGGTTCCGAACCAGTTTGTGACAGGTGGGTGATTGCTCAAAAGCTATCAGTTAACCAAATCAAATGGTTAACAGTAACCACTGACTGTGTATAAAGATGGGCAAACCCTCCATGACATCACTCAGGGCTTTCATGAACTGTGGTTTTGAAGCTAAGTGTACTGGCTCTATTTTGGCAGCGTCTGACTTCTCCTAGCTCTCAGCTAATCCAAAATTGAGCAAAGAGGTGGAGTGTGAGTGGAGCTGAGGCAAGCAGTGCAAACATTTCTGGGCCGTGGACTGTCCAGGTGACAGGACACACCTGTCAGCAAACTCTTAATTGTGCATAACTTTAACCCTTAATACAATTTAAATGGGTGTTATATAAAAATGCATCTCCAGTACAGTTGACATGGACAAGACATTAGCTGTAGAGACCAAAACATTTGTTGCTGTATTCATGTTTTTTTCTGGTGTAAAGTTGGACATTTTAACGTGGGGGTCTAACGAGCTAACTCAACTTTAGAGCCAGCCTCAAGTGGCCATTTGAGGAACTGCAGTTCAGTTCTGGAGCTGCCATTTGGTAGTAACACAAGGAGGGAATTTCATATTTAAAAAAACACTAACTTTACCTACATGAAAATTACCACAGCCACCAGTTAATTAAACTTGACATTTCAGAGAATGCAGCCCAGTCATTGCAATTGATTTCCTTGAATTTCTGAGGTCACTTTGTGTTTGTACATGGGTTAAACATGCAGCAGGAAAAGATGTGGTGCAGTTCAACTGTAAAATATTTTGTCTATGCTGTAGCTGGGACTTAAATGAAAAATGTGCTAAATGTAGATTATGTAGGTCAGGTCTACTTTAGGTTTTGGCAGAGAGTTAGTGCACTGAGTAAAACACATAATAATTTAAAGGCATGGTTCACGCCAAAATTACAATTCATTAATTAATTGGGGACTCAGTGTAACGTTTTTTAAAAGTGCAAACACTAAGCCTCAATGCCAAACCACTTTAGTTAATGTAGCTTCAAGCAACATAAAATGTCACTGAGAAAGTCTTCACTGAGCTGCTTGTGCAGCATTATTCCAAGTTTCTGTTGCCAAACCATTTCCCAAACTTTAACATCTATTATCACATCTGGTTACAGCCTTTAGTAACATAGAAAGGTCCTCAGTAAGGAAAGTACTGGAGATTATAAGAAAAATGTTGCATTTTTTGGCTGTGGAACAACTTGAATTATGTTAAGTAAGGCTACAGAGAATCTTGGCACGATGTTGTGGTGTCAGTTAGAATGTACAGATAACGTGTCAGTGGGATGTGAGGAAGGCCTGATTGAACACATCCGTGTGGCCTGTCCTTGGCTGTCAGCACTGTAACAGCCTCAGGAGAATTCAACACTTCCTGCGCTTTGACCTTTGAACTAAAGTGCTTATCACACTCTGCTTCCAAACAATCCCAAGCATGAGATGTCACATTTTTCTTTGAGAGCTTTGTTTTCCCAACACTTAGTAAAAACTCTCCTCTCCCTCTCTTCTCACACAGTTGTCTGAGACCCGGGGCCAGGCAGGACGAGGACAGAGCTGTTCTTTGATAAGCACGGCTTCTGACAACCAAAGCTATGTTAACAGGAGATAACGTGCATCTCAAGCCATGTTGTGAATGCTGTTTTTCAAGGAGTCACCCTGAGGTCACCACTGTTGTATTGATTCCTACAGTCGACGTTAACTGTATCTTAACCTTGAGCCACACTTGACAAGTTAC